CGCCACAGCCTGGAGATCAACCAATTCCTCGAAAGCAGCAACTCGGCGGTGCCCCGCGCAGGCTATGTACCTCCGCATCCTTGCCTTTCTCAAGCATCGATATAATGAACAGCTTAACTCTAGGGTTCATAAGCACCGTCTTGACTGTGGATGCCTCTGTTGATTCCAGTTCCGGCTCCCTTCCATCCTACTTTGGTTGGACCTTCGTCCACACGAGATGGGAACTCGAAAACATCTCTTGCGCAGACTCAAAGTCCGCTGAACCTCTGAATCTAGCGGACTTGTACTTACAGCAAAGGACGTCACCAGTCCTCGCATTCGCCATCTTCGGCCTCTTCGGTGTTACTTCAGAAGTCCGCGCCTCGTACTGACGTATCGTCTGCACCATTGGCGACTGGTTCGTCTGGAAGCCGACGCCTAGTAAGGGCGCGTTCACCGATTGGCGACATCGAGTTCGGCGAGCGGCCGCCTCACACCTCGATGTCAGTGGGTCTTGAGTACGCCCCCTCATGCATTCACATGAGCCGAACTGACGAAGATGAGCTAGGTCAAGACCCAGCTACATCGACCCCAACGCGCTCGCTCAAGATCAAGGTGGAGATGAAATCGTGAATGGTGCGAAGAACTGATTGTTGGATAAGGACGTGACAGAGGAAGTACGCTGGAGTATTATCCGTACTGAGAGGATCACTGATGCAACGAATAGGTACGACGAACGCCCGATGCAACCTTCCGCGTCTTCCCAGGCTGGCTTCGGCTATGTTTCAGTTGAAGTGTAGGATGGTCCTCCAGTGATTGTCGCTTCTCTTGACTACCATCGCGGCTTCTCGTTGTGAGAGTCGCGTCTTCCCACAGTTCGAACATTCTTTCTGCTCTGTATGCGCGTCGTTTAGGGTTTCAGTGCTTCGATATCAATGAATTGCGCTGCTAGTATATGACATGTACACGGGTATTGATATTGTGAGGCTAAATTCAAGACATCGGAGGCTATCGGGATCCGTCTGTTTCTGCTCGCCCGCATCGATTCGCTAACGCTGCAGATGCATCCTTCCTCTTCGCACCCAGCCTCCGCGAGCTCGCCATCGAATCGGTACCTTCGCTCGCAGACTGAGAAGGCGGCGACGGCACTATGCCCTACCGAGCGCTTTTAGTTGAGAAGACGCCGTGGCGTATGGGCGACCACGTTCGAGTTCTTGTGGACGGGCGAGCTGGTAGAAGATTGAGCAAGGGGAACGGCGCCAGATGTTTGCCATCGCTACTGGTCGTGATCGATCCAGGCGTATATCCATCCCGGTCATATGGTCCATTCGGAGATGCGCACCTATATGTCAGAGCGAGACGCCCTAGATCACAACGACGCTTCTCCCGCAACGACGTCTGATTGGTGCTTGCCTGAGCTCGCTGCGGACGAGTTCGTATAGACATGGGGCGAGGCAAGTGGAGGGATTCGCGGGAAGCCTGAGTCGATGGATCCTAAGGGGTATGCCCATTGACGATTGTGACATTGGCTAGCTATCGCGTGAGGGGCTCAGCCCTGCGGAAACTCTGTAAGAGATAGATTCAGACGTAGAAAATATGAAAGCGCACTCGTACCTGAGCCCTTGCCTTCACCCATGCCCTTCCTTGCGCGCGTACACATCCCTCCAACTCGCTAGCGCATGGCAAGTACACGATGTGCTTGGCTAACTCGTGAGAGACTGGTGCCGTAGTGGAGTATGAAGCTATATGAAGAGCGACATCGTGTTTGGACCGGTGAATGAATGGTATGCTCGCAGTGAGCAGAGGGGCCTGAGTCGAACGGGATTCTACATGTTGGGCTTCGGCGCATAGAAGCTCTATCCCATGCTTGAACCCGACAAGAAGCAAAGGCGCTCAGCTGCCGTTGTAGATGCCGAGAAGGAGTTGTAGGGAGTCCTTGAGGTGTAGCGTGGTATGGACGCGGACTCTCGAATCCCGAATTCACTCGCTCGACCAACGTTGTCGTCTGTCCAACCTCAACGCCATTTCGGTCTTCTCTCGCGGCTGATCCGGACGTTCAGATGTGTATGGGAACGAGGGTAGCCAACGATAGAATAGCGTTCTCGAGCATCCGTCGCCCATGAGAAGAGAAGGCCGATCCAGATGCGCTGGCCGTAGAGCGGGTCATGCATGTACGCTCGACTTGTTCTGCAGCCGCTGCAGTGTGGAGTGCACGGCGAGGATATGGGTGAGCTGTGCGTAGGCAGATACGGCGAGTACGCTGGAGGAAGGAAAGCTTGGCATCGTTATCGTCGGTTATGCGTCGATCGTGGTCGGGAGCAAGACGAACAGTACTTCCGCGGCTGTCCGCGCGAGGACCCATATATCATTGCCCGCGGCGGTCTCGGTCGTCTTACCTTCGCGTCGCTCTCTACAAGTGACCACCATGGCCTACGGTTTTTCTTCTCCTATTGGAGCGAGGACGATCGCAGTGTACATCCTCAGTGCAGAACTACCTTCTGCGCACCACGTCTGCGGCAACTAAATTGTGATACGGCCCTACAAAGCAACGGCTTAGTGCCCCGCACAAGCTACTTCCGCATCCTAGCTCTGGCAAGTATCGATGTCCTACTCACCTTACTCATATGCACAGCAATCATAGTTTTATCGGTGAAGAAACAACTGTTCATATCTGGCTCTATCTTGTTTTACGCTAGCTGGGCTTACGACTACGCGGAATGAGACGTACGCACAACTACTGTCCGGAGAAGTTTCGGCCATGGCGCAGTTCTACTTCACACGATGGACGTCGCCCGCGCTCGCGGTCACTATCTTCGGCCTCTCTAGTAGCATGGCAGAAGCCCGCGGGTCCTATTGGCGCATCATTCGAATCATGGGGCAGATGGTGTGGTTGGAAGCCGATCCTTCGCGAGCGCAGAGCGCGTTCACCGCTGGGAAACATTGATTTCGGCAATCGGGGCCTTCAAGTCTCTGTGACGCCTGGTCTAGAGTGCGCTGTATCATACTTCGCAGTATATATTGGGTTGACGAAGAAGACATAGATCTCGCCCGAGCTTCAGCGATCCTGATGTCATCGCCCAAGAGCAGGTCTTGGAGAGCCGGGGTACTAGAAGTGAGATGGAGAGCGGTTCTGAGAAGGACAAATGACGACAAGACACGCCGTGCTACTCATGCCGAGGCGACAGGCGCGGCTCATCAATATACATACATGAATCGATTGAGTACGACGAGCAGCACCTCATGCGTGGCTGTGCGGGGCTTACAGCGCCTATCTGTGCCGTGAGCGTTCGCGTGCTTCCCGCTGTTCTGCATGCTCTTCCTACACCACTATGATACAATGAAAATTGATGTATTGGTTTGCTAGTGTACGTATGCCGACGTCGCGATACGGACCTTGTGGTACTAAAAGACAAAGGAAACTGATACTGGGGGCGATTTGCTAGCTATCTAGGGGATCTTCACCTGCGACATTCAATCATTAGTAAGGGCATGGAGTACAAGGTGAATAGAGTCCGCACGTCCACCAGTGTTCGCATCGTTCAGTATGTACTTCAGTCACATCCGTGCGCTGATTTTGACGCCTTCCTGCTGCTCATGCCACTCTACACCGTCCCCACGGGCCAGATCAAGTGTCGTGATCGCGAATGGACGCCATCAAGGAGAATGGAGAGGCAGGGTCTTTGTTTTCGCGCCAAGGCTCTACGTCAATACGCCAAGCACGCCGGGGGGGGATCCGGGAAAGTGTGTCGGTCTTGACCGCCGTACACGACATAAATCAGGAAGAGTCAGCTGCCTTTCACAGGTTCAATATGGATGAGCAATGAAGGGCGGATGCGGAGGAGAGGTCGAGGGGCTGAAAGCCAACGAAGGAGTGTCGCTCAACTGATTTTCGCCTGTCAGGAGTGAACAGCGTCCAATTTCTTCATCGCAACGTTCGCACGTGTCCGTGATTGTAGAAAGTACTGCATACTACATAGATATGAACAGAAGCGCGGAGGATAGAAGAAAGAGAAGGGCACACCTGCACCTTCGCCTGGTAGCCACTTTGGGCGACGTTTGCGAGGTATTCTTCCAGCCTGCACCGTGACGCCGCCCTCCTTATCCTTTCCATTACGACGCATTAGACACCATCCTTGCATCTCCAGATGGATATACCAAGCATCTTTTTCATGGTAGCGACTCCGTTGCATTCTGGCCGAAAGGAGTTGGCGGCTCATCAAGTTCGTTAGTGGTACGTGGGCATGCGCCACTTCTTCGTGTCGAGACTCTACTCTCGCTGTCTGAAGACATGCCAAAGGCGTAGTTCTGGCATCAACAAGTCGTGACAAAGCCCTGCGAATGCAAGAGACCGTGCCAATACAGACAGACGTAGGCACGTCTAATACGCATCCGTCGTATGTGCGTGAAGGCGCCTCGTCACAGAGTACAGAGTGGATGAACGATGATTGAATACAGGCGAGACATGTGAAGAGAGTCAGTGTTTTTGTGAGCGTCATCGCCATCGCGGTGGTGGCGGTGGCGGTGGTGGTGATGGTGAGCAGAAGCGCTGCCTGCGGCCTACAGCCTCTCACGAGCGCGTCATGGACGTAGTCTCGACACAAGACCCTTCACGCGTGAGGTCTCGCGTCAGGAGTTTGTTCCGAACCTAGTCACGGACGATAGTGACATCTGCCATCGACCACCACGACCCTCATCACCGGAAATATTTGCTCTCAACTCGAACAGACTCGGAATAGTGTGGAGATGACCATGGCATGTGTCCTGAGCGGACGCGATCGCTCAAGTGACTCGAATCTTCTTTCGCCACCATCCGGATACGAAGACCTAGCATTTTGCGGGTGGATGGGGGCCCGTACGATTGCCTTGATGCTGTCATTTTAAGAAACATCAGGGTAGCAAACCAAGACTGGAGACTACTGATCATATTCTTCCCTTACAAGATGTACTTTACATGTATTCGGTGCAGCAAAAATCTCAGGGAAAAGCTTCCGTACGTGAGCATTCAAACTTGACATGATACTTTACAGCCTATGCTTCTTCGGCTTCGGCGAAGGTCCCGGTGTACTCGTCGACTTGCGCTTCGCAGGAACCTGCCTCGCCTTGCCGCCTCCACTGCCGCTACCGCTCTTCTTGAAAGCGTGCGCTGGTTCCTCGTCATCGCTCTCGATCTCGATGATATCGCCGTTGCTCAGGCGGTCAAGGACCTCCGTAACCTGTGCCGCCTGCTCGGCGTTGCGCTCCGTCAGCACTTGGAGCAGCGTACTCGATGCCGTTGCGGTCGGCGCTGCGGGCGACGCCGGCTGAGCGTCGCGCGCAGACGCGATGGTTGTGCGCATAACCCGCAAGGCATCTGCTGCGTCGAGCATGACGACGCGGAAGTCCTCGCTCTTCTTCGGATCGACGGCGTTGGCCTGGTAGATAGCACGCACGACTCCGATCAGCCCATACCGACCGTGCATCTTGATGACGTCCTCGTAGGGCTGCTCACGGATGTGGCGCCAGGTCTGGGCGACAAGCTGTGTGTAGTTCGGCTCTGGGACCGTCGCGTAAATTTTTGGCGCCATCCGCTGCTTCGAGGCCCATTGCTTGGCGGACCTAATGTCGAGAGGCGCGCGGCGCGCGACCTATGTCGTTGTCAGCGGTGTCGAATATCAAAGGCAAGAATAGTCTCACCTGAACGCCGCGGACGCTGACAATCTCGAATTCCATCATCTCCGTCGCCAGGTCCACCGCCGCGTTGAAGTCCACACCCGGCCTAACCTCAGCGTCGGACCATACGATACCGGCCCAACGCAGTACGCGCTCGACGAATGGTCCGATGGGCATGGAATCTTCGTCTTCCCCGTTCGTCGGCGCTGAGCTGGAGTCCACTTTGTCGGCTTCGACTTTCACCGTCACCGGGGTTATGTCGGCGTCGGCGTCGGCGTCGTCGTCCCGCACCATACCTTCCACCTCGTCGTTTTCATCCGGCGCGGCGGCGCTGCGCGCGTCGTCGTCGTTCTCGTCCGTCTCCCCGCCGTCTGCAGCGTTGTCGAGCAGCTGCATCGCTTCATGGTGGATGGTGGTAACAGGCGGCAGAGAGTTAGCATCCTGAGAAACACGAAGGTTGGTTTGCATGTGAACGTTTGGAATGCAGTGAGCGCCTCACCTCCTCGACTACGCTAGGGTCGCGCATACTCTGCGGAACTTCTGTAACGTGCTCGGTATCCTGGTTTTCTTGCATCGTGGCTTCACCGGGCTCGCCACCTTGTATGTTGTCCTCGACGCTACCGGATTCGACCTGTAGGATAGGCCACTGCGTTTTAGCGAAAAGGTCCGTCGGCCGCGGAGGTAAATCAACTCACCTCCACATCGCCCAACGCCGACGCGCCGTTGACTTGAGACGCGGCTTGCGCTGGTGAGCCCTGTTACCGTTACCATCAACCCTCGTCGGCACGAAAGACGTCCACAATATAGCTGTACACGTACCTGGGCCATGAGAAGGGCCAGTCGCTTCTCGGCGAGCTCCATCTCGGCACGAGCGATTGCAAGCTGAAGATCCTAAGAAGATGTATAAGTATACAATCGCCATAAGATGAGATCGCGCTTTGCCTTGTCCATGGTTACTGAGTGCGGGACAGATATTGTTGGTGGTGGTGGGACACTGCGACGGTCGGCGCCCAGGAGCTTTATATATTCGCCAACCTGTGCGCCGCCGCAGAGATCGTCGCGCTTGAACGAACTTGACCGCCATCAGTGCGCGGTCGTATGACTGCAACGTGGATGAAGGTTAGCGCCGCTCTGCGACATTTCAAATACATACTGACAGCGTGTCCCCACCCGTGCGAGCATAGGCCCCTATAATGAGTCAGTGAGTCAGTACGCACTCTCGCGGTGATGTCGCAAGCCCATACCGATCTTTGGGTAGACCCCGCGCTGTAAAGAATTATCGACGGAGGAGGTGGGAGATCGAGTCTAAGCGTTGGCATCCTGTTCGCGCGCTTACGCGCGGCCGGCAGTGTCCGAGCGTCCTCCGCTGCGTATCCTCCGGCGCCGGACTTCGCCTTCGCAGCGACGACTATGGGGACTGAACGGGTGAGAGTATTAGTGGGTGCCTCGAGGTTGGGAAGCGAGTGAGAGACTGACAGCGGTTGCTTTTGGTCGCGCTGGTCGGGTTCTGCGCATAACGACGCGTCCGAAAGTCCGGAGCACGACGCCCAAAACGCCCCTCAACGACACTTCAAGCTAGACTCCTTCCCACGCGCTTTCGCCCTCCATGTATCGGCTGCTGAAGAGTTCCAAGTATTCGCTCTCAAGTGCTGGGAAGGAGTCTAACTTCAAGCGGCGCCAAAACATAACCGTGAGGAATGAAGACCTGAGGCCTGAACCTTGACAAGCAGATGGCCGCGGGCGCCACTCGCTTACCTCCATGCTACAATTCTAGGAAAGATGACCCGGTGCATATTGGGGCAGATAGAACATATATATGGTTGTACTGGATATCTAAATACAGATGAACGGCGCTCTCGTTCTCCGCAGTTCTATGTCAGTCAATGAAAGTAGCACGTATAGAATGCTGAACGATATAGCTCAGTATTATGCTAGAAAGATGATACATTGGCTCTGCGGGGAGGCGAATTCGGCCAGAGTCTTGCTGCGTTCCGCGCTCGAGTTCGTCTTCCGCTAGATGCCCCCACGGCGTTTGAGAGCCGTCCTTGACCGTCATGTAGTCCAGGCAATTAGCAAGCGCGGCCATGCGCGCTTCGCATTCGGGGTATGGCAGCCGCACCTGCCCATAACACCCGAGTAGCCGAACGTGCTGGAAACCGCGGATCTTCTGTCCCTTGTGGCCGGTGTTCATGCCGTAAGGGTACGCGGTGGTATAAAGCACTTGAAGACCGACGGGTGCTGCCGCTAAATATGTAGCGCGAGAGGGGTGGGGTTGGGCGTCGCATATGTTGGAGCGGGTAGCTCGCCGCGCCGGATGCCGACAGGTGAGGTTCGAGTTCGGTGTCGGCGTCTTCGCATAAAAACAGCTCCAAAATTCTCCCAATATCGAAGTTGTATCGCCGCTACGGAGTTAGTCCACAACATTCTGAACGAGAGAATGACCTGAAATTGTATCCAAAACAGCCTTATCGCACCTTAACATGGCTTGAATGAGCCAACTTTGCTGCCACGTTTGAACAGCGCTCTCGAAGACGATCGCCGCGATGCATCTTGCTCGCTTTTGCGATGTAGAAAAGGCCAGTCTGGTGTCGATGCACGAGTACGAGGCTGAGAACGCACCAAAACGGGATGACGTCATTGACCCTATGAAGCGCGTGCGCATGCTGACATTTTGGGCAATCTTAAGGTTAAGGTTAGCCCCTCAAAGGGACCAAAAAAAACGAGCATTTCTGCTTGTTTTTATAAAATTGATAACATCGCCAGTGTGCTCCCACCGTCGGCGGGAGCAACACCGACACCGGCGATGCAATAAGAGTACATCGTACTGTATGACAAGCCACACCCAAGACCGACACAGGGTGCACGCTCTTCCCTGTGTCGGCTTGGACACCATACTAGCGCGGATGCGAAGGCCGCACTAGTATCCATCAGGACAAGGACACGACTCGGGCTGCCGAGCCGCGAACACAATTGCGACCGCCCACCCCCCAATAGACACCGGCGTGAGAGCTGCCGGGCTACGAAGGTTGGTCGTGGCGGTCCGAGGTCAAGATCGGTTGATGGCTCCGACGCGCCGTAGCATCTTATATAGTGCAACTGGTAACACGTCACGTCACGTCACTTCACACCGTGTCATCATCGGCACGAACTCGCGACCGCGCCGCTAGCTTCTTTTATCCGTCAACCGATTTCCTACACAGCTACTGTAATTGTCAACACAACGTGGCGGATTCGCCAGGCAAGCGCTCCGAGCATTCGTGGCGCGATGCTTTGCTTGCTTCCGCCCGCCACCCGCTACCCGCCACGTCCTCGGCGATTCCACCGGCATTGTTGTACAAGACAACAGCGCCAGCAGTAGTCGTCAGCTCTATGTGCACTCATTCCTTGGAGACGCGCTACGTTGAGCTCTCCTCGGCTTCGTCCCCCCTCCTAGCGGCGATAGGAGGACCGCAACAACACGATTCTCGCCCGCCGGCGGCGATGCACTCCCTAACTTCGGCGTCTACTGTGAGCGCTCGCTCTCTCGATTGCGAAGGCGCCGCCAATCGCAACAACGAACGCGAGGCCGTACTTTATCGCTGCCTGTGCAAAATAGGTGCCTGGATGGAAACTGATCCACTCGGCAGCACTCGATAAGCCACCTCACTACTCTTGCGGAGGATCGAGGTCCTCAAGTTCAATCGCCACCACGACGAACTCATAGCCGGAAACGGCGGCGAGAACCGCCAGCTCGCTTCCCTCGACGACGTATTCCATGTATGTCTCGCGAGCATGGTCCCGCCAACTCCGTCGAAGGCAAGACATTCTGAAAGTCCTCCGCGCTGATTCGGATGGCGAGCGGTGCACGCGCACGAGTATTCGCGAACTTTAGGACAATGTGAGAATACCTTGTCACCATATCACCGCTTCTGCGCCCTGACTGTGCCTTTCAGTTAGGACCTGCTATCCTCGTCCATCCGTTATGGACGGTCGGCCCCTGCTTTCATCAGTCTGCGATCTCAGAGTTCCCTTTCACACTCGCGCAATGTGACGCCTACTGTGCCTCATACGTACGTCAGCATAAGTCTGTGTCCCACTTTGTTTCGGCTTCCGACTTCCGAAGCTCGCACAATGATGCGATGGTGATCATGTATCGTGTACACCCGTCATAATAAACCGTTCAACTATCACCTTTGACATAAACGATCATCCGTTTCTTAAGCTCCACGATAGGATACGTGCATCACACCCTTGGTTCTAGGTGACTCACATCCAGAAGCTCATCTGAACGTATTCGCGGGACAATCAAGCTATAGATCGTGTGTATAACTACAGCTATCTCTGTCGATTGGACGACTGCACGCCACTGACATCTCCGCGCGCCGGATTCTTCGAAGATGCTTGCAAGGCATGTCCGTGCTCACTCACGAGAATGCTCCCTGGTATTCCCACTTCACGACATCACCAATGTACAGGATATAAACGAGGTGTTGCTGGTTCCACATCCCCTGCTCGCGCGGCGTACAGCGACCCCTTCCGCGCGTCCCCCCTCTTACCCTCACCCTCATCCTCATCATACGAGCCAACTTCGTCCTCTCGTCCGCCATCCCCTGGTTCCCCTCGTAGCGGTGCAAGGACTGGTAACGGGATAGGCTTGTTGTAGTCCGGGTCATATCCAATGGGATGGTTGTAGACCGTATGCGGTCGACTGCGCCGTCGCGGTGGACCATATCGTTCTTCCTGATTTTGCTTCCGCGAGCGCTTGGTACCAGGCGGAGCTTCGAGATCGAACGTCCAGTACGCGCCGCGTCCGGGTTCATTTGCTCGGCGCATCACCTTCACGAAACAGTGGCTGAGCGAGAGGTGATGCCTGACAGATTGCTATGAGCCCAGATGCCGTGAGTATGCAAGACGGCATCCCTGAGCGTGCCCACATACCTTCCATGAGTCCTCTGGCGGTAATGTTGCAAAGTGTGGGTATTTATTCATGATGGCTGCATATATGTCCGTAATTGTAAGCCGCCCGGATGCACTCCCAAGAATCGCCGCCCGAATGATGATCGGCAGGGTGTATCTCGCTTTGTCATTGCTATCCTGCAGGCAGCTGAGAGAATCAGGACAATTGGAGTGAGGCGGATGCTGCCCGTTCTCATCGGTATGCAAAAGAGGCGCCCCTGTATATGCAGCAGGGGGACCACCATTTGTGACTCGGGGGGGCGAGAGCGGAGGTTCCACGAAGTCAACGCTGGATGTGGATCCGCCAAGACCGAAGAGACTTTCTTCGACGCATGTGAGTCTGCTTGACAAAGACGAAGAAGTGGTCAACACAGGGGGGTGGCCAATGAACGCCGAACTTGCGTTTGGGAGCACGCCCTGAGCAGGCGACTGTATCGCTAGAGCCGGTCGCTCACTGTGAGCACCGACATATGCGACACTCCAGGCAATCTGTGAGTCGTTGCTTTGTCGTGTGAAAGCCGGACTCGTCGCCAGGAGGTAGGTGATGGAATGCTGTGAGAAGTTATCAGGCTCTCTGTCGCGTGAACACTTTCGGCGAAGCTGCATACTTTGAGGTCATCTTCGCGATCTTCGCTCCTGTAGAAAGGATACTTGCCTTTCAAGGCGGCAAGTATATCATCGACGTTCAGTTGCCCTGTCCCTCCGCCAAGGATAGCACACCGCACAAGCGTCTCAATCTGATCAGTTGGTGCAGTATCGAGATCGGCAAGGCAGCTGAGCGAGTTGGGGCATCCTGGATGTATTTCGTGCAACCCGCGATGTGAGAGGTAGTGGGCATAGTAGCGAGGAGGCGATGTCATAGGGGGTAACACAGTCGGTGTGAAAGATATGACCCAGATGGCCTCTTGCCCAAGTCCGACGACTCT